GTCCCTGTCAAGACTACAGATATCTAAACAAGAATGCAGTGAAGGATGTATATCCACTTCCCCTTATCTCAGATCTGGTCAACAAGTTAAAAGGAGCCTCCATCTTCACAAAGATGGATGTCAGATCTGGATACAACAATGTCCAGATAAAAGAAGGAGACCAGTGGAAGGCCACATTTATCACACATGAAGGACTCTTCAAACTGACAGTCATGTTCTTTTGCCTTTGTAATTCCCCCACCATGTTCCAGTGATTCATGAATGATTCATTTCAGGATATGATCACTGAAGGATGGTTGGTCATCTATATGGATGACCTTCTCATCTTCTCCACTGATGCTGAAGAAGACAGATGAAGAACTCATCATGTCCTTGAACAAATGAAAGAATTGTCACTTCCTCTGAAACTAGAAAAGTGTCATTTCAATCTTACTGAGGTGGGATACATGAGAATGATCATAAAGGAAAATACTGTCACTATGTACCCTGTCAAAGTCCAGGGTATTGCTGAATGGCCCATCCTGAAGAAGGTTAAAGATATGCAATCCTTCCTGGGATTCACCAACTTCTATTGAAGATTCATCCCTTACTATTCAGACATTGCCAGAGCCCTAATTGACCTAACCAAGAAAACTGCCTTTGAACTCCTAAAGAGGATTTTTATGGCACAACCAACCCTCCATATGCCTGATACTTCTTGGCCATTTGTGATAACCACTGATGCATCTAAATACATGACTGGAGGAGTTCTCCTTCAAGAAGATTTGAATGGTCAATGGCAGCCCTGTGCCTTCATCTCCCAGTCATTTAACCCTGCAGAATGCAACTATGACATTTATGATTGAGAGTTGCTGGGAGTTATTCAAGGACTGAAGACCTGGAGACATTATCTCCATGGTTCCCTGTTCCCAGTCAAGATCTGCACTGACCACAAACATTTGACCTACTTCAAGGCACCCCAGAACCTAAACCATTGCCAGGCACACTGGCTCCTGGACCTTGCAGATTTTGATCTGCAACTTGAAAACATCCCAGGCAAAGATCTGGCAGCTCCCAATGCACTCTCCTGATGCCCTGACCATGTCCCTGATGATGATGATGATGATGATGATGATGATGATGATGAGGATAACAAAGGAGTAACCCTCCTCCACCACACAATGTTTGTAAACCTTATTGACACCAGTCTGACACAGAGGGTTTCATCATCCTCTATGAAAGACTCCATTGTCCAAACAGCTCTTCAAGCCATTGAAAATGTCAACATGCCACTCCCCTTCAAGTCACATCTTTCCAACTGGAAATTTGATCATGGGGTGCTACTTTACAAAGATCAGGTCTATATCCCTGATGATCCCTCCCTCTGACAAACCATGGTGTCCAATCACCATGATCACCCCTCTGCAGGACACCCTGGTGTATTAAAAATGAGACAGCTTGTCTCCTCTGAATTCTGGTGGCCAGGACTTGTGTCCTTTGTCTGCAAATACATTGAAGGCTGTGCTACATGCCAGCAAAATAAAGTAAACACTCACCCAATGACCCCTCCCCTGACACCCATTGTTTGGACCTTGATCCACCCCTTCCAACAGATCTCATGCAATCTGGTCACTGACTTACCCCTTTCCAAAGGCTATGATTCCCTTTTGGTCATGGTAGACCATGGGCTTACAAAGAGGGTAATTTTATCACCTACAAAGAAAACCACCTCTGCTGCTGATATTGCAACACTGTTTTTCAAGAAAGGCTACTCCCACTTCAGGTTATATGACAAAATCATATCAGATCAAGGCCCTCAATTTGCCTCCACCTTTGCAAAAGAACTTGCCTCTCTCCTGGGATACTCTCTCACTCTGTCCACTGCTTATCACCCTCAAATAGATGTAGAGACTGAATGAGTCAACCAAGAGGTTGAAACTTATCTTTGAATCTTCTGCCAGAATGATCCCACTCTCTGGGTAGACAACCTCCCTATGGCAGAATTCACACACAATCACTGACCCCACTCCATAACCCACCAGTCACCATTCTACCTCATGTACAGGTATGAACCAAAACCCCTTCCATCTTTGATCATGGAAACACACCTTCCCACCACTGAGTCTAGACTTGAGGAATTACAAAAGGCTAGAGAAGAGGCCCTTGCAGCCCATGACCTAGCCCAAAAAGCCATGAAAGACCATGCTTCTAGACCCTTCACCCCATTTCAAAAAGGTGATAAGGTTTGACTAGAAGCCTGCAATTTGAAATGCTCCTATGAAAATGGGAAGCTTGCACCAAAACAAGAAGGACCCTTCATTGTCTTGGACATCCTATCCCCAATCATGTATTGCCTTGCAATTCCCTGCATGATGGAAGATCCACAATGTGTTCCATGCTTCCCTGTTATCACCCTATCACAAAAATGACATTCATGGACTGAACTTCCTGGCTCCACCACCTGATCTGATAAATGAAGAGGAAGAGTATGAGGTGGAGGCAATAGTCAGCCATAAGAGGTCTGGCTGCAGACATGCCTTCTTAATCAAATTGAAAGACTATCTGTCTTCCAAAAACTCATGGCAAAAAGAACACCTTGAACATGTGGATAATATACTCTCTGCATATAAGAAACAATTCCCCAAAGACTTTCCCCCTCAGAAACCACCTCCCCATTCGCTCTTCCTGAACTGTCAGAACTGTCTCCTTTGAAATGCCCCCTTGTCATTACACATATCCTTGTGAGATCTCCTATCACCACACCCCTTTTGCTTGTCATCAGCAGCAACCCACTAGTGAACAAATGATCAACTTGTACCATCTCTTTATCACCAACCCTGCCATTGCCAGCACCATCTATCATGAGGTCAATGAGGACTCTCCCCTTGACCTTGTCTATCATGCATCCATTCAGGCTCTATGCCTCAAAGAACTTTCCCTATTGTGTTAACCACCAAAACCCTCTGCTGTCCCCAGCACACACTATTCTAAATGATTTTGCTTGTGAACAAGTCCCCCTGTGGCTCCATCTCTTTGATATCCTTGGAGGTGCAGACCTTATATACAACATCAGGCAACATCCTGACCTCATTGCACCCCCTCCTCCTGGGTCCAGAAGACCCTCAACTGCAACCTCTCTTCCTGTGTCCTCCATTTCATTGTCCCCTCCAGCATTGTCATTGTCATCATCCTCCTCCCCATCCTCCAGCTCTCTTCAAAGAGCAGATAGACCATGGGCCTGTTGCCTGTCTGGTCCAAAGCCCCAACCATGTGAATCTCATGGTTCACTGTCATCCCCTTCTGAAATAGACCCAGTCTCTACTTTTGGTGTCACTGCTGATGAGTTGGCTGCCACCATGAATCAAGTAGAAATGCTCACAAACCTCCCACCTTCTCCTATGAGAAGTGGTTGTCTGGCCACTTGGCCCTTAATCCCATCAGACCCATGTTACTGGCAAACATGTTACTCTTGTCACTGCCTTGGACACATTCATGTCAACTGCAACCTATATGAATGCCCCCTGTGTTGCACCACTCATCCTGGTCATACCCAGGCCCAATGCCTGTCCTTACACCCTCATCATCCCTTGCATGAAAGAATCACTACACCCAGGCTAGTAGATGATCAAACTCTCATTGACAGTGAGGACAACAATGGGTACAATGACAATTTTGACTTTGACGACTCTGCCATTGCCAACATGACCAGAGAACCTTATGGAGAGTAGTTTGAAGTTGGGGACTTCAAGCCTTAGAAAGGGGGTAATGTTATGTTTTACCCTTGTTTTTGCCTTGTTGCTACCTCATTTCCTTCCACTGGATGTTCTTTCCTTTCTTGGCCATCTTCTCCTTGTTCCAATGGCCTTTTACTTCCATCACTAGCAATATTCCCTCATGCCTCATTTGGGACATGCAATGTTGTTGTTCAACCAATAGCATGGATAACTCATTACATGCAGATGCCTCATGATCCATTTACATGTAGTAGTTAGTCTGCCAGCTCAAGTCCTAGAACCCCAGACTTGAGCTGCTCAATCATATGCAGTGTTCCTCAGAACTTCACCCTCATAGTCCCTAACCTGGTGTAGGAAAAGTCCAAGTAGCTGTATAATATGAGCTAGATGGCTTAGATAACAACAATAAAAATGAAGGGAATGAATTGCTTGTCCCAAGGGATTCTGGACTGCTGAGACTAGATGTAGCAGTAGCAATTTGTGACATGGATGGCATGGTCTGCAGAGTAGTACTGGCAATGCAAGCAGTGCAAGTGGTGTGCATAGTTTGTGTGCAGTGGTATGCAGAATGTGCAGTGTAGACAAAGTGGAAAAGAAACTTGTGGTGACCTTCCAAGTGCCAAAAGGTCCCATTCTGTACCTAAGTACAGGGCTTTATAGTCCAGGCAAACCCAGAACCTAAGTAAGACAAGGTACAAGTAGAGGAAGGCCACATGACAGTGCATACATACAAGACAGGCCTGAACAGAGGCTGTGGGTATACTACTAACAAAAAGGGAACAGAGACCATGTTAAAAGAAAGAGTCCAAAGGAAGGGAAGTGTCCAAAGCACAGCAGCTGCATGAGTGGAGCAAGGGCATGGGAGGGTAGCACATGAACAATGGTGGATACAAGCAGTGAGGGGATGTAATGGTGGTAGTCATGGAACAGTCAATGATAGGGGCTTACATGTCCAGGGAATGTGGATTCCCTACACCTGTGGGGGACTTAGATGCTGACTGTCCCTGGTCAGCCTCATGGTGTGGAGGACATAAACAGCTTTGCCACATGGTGATAGCAAAGGTGTGGTGCCAAGGGTTTGAGAACACCAGAGGATTCCACACAGAAGTGAAGGAAGCATGGAGCTGAGGAATGTGAGAAGACCATTGAATGCCACATATAGGCATCTGGACCGATGACATGAGTGCCTCATGGCCACTAAGTATATAACTGTCAGTGCATGGGTCAAACCTTTGCATTGACTTGATTCTTTCCCCCTCATCATCAATCCCCTCTAATGCTCTAATCATGTCTGCTAACCATGCCCCCTGGCTTTCCCAACTCATTCATGCATCTACCCCAGATCCTGTGGAAGCTGAAATGGCTTCCTTAAGAGAGCAGCTGATGCTCCTGTGCTGGCAGAGCCCAATGATCTGTACAAGTGATGGACTGCAGAGGAAGTGGAAGCACATGCAAAGGTGGAGCAAGATGTTCAGATGGGAGAGGAGGACCATGGTGGAGCTTGGCAATGATGGTGCAGTGAAGATGTCACACATGGAAGTTCCGCAGCCAGCTCACAAGGTAAGTCAATGTGGGCACATCTTCCAGTCTCACTGACACTGCCACCACACAGCACTCTTGGCAGACTGTTGCCAAGAGCGACAAAGAGCCTGCCTGGCCAAAGACCTGTATCCCAGCTGTGGGTATGATCACCCACAAGGAGCCATGCATGCAGTGCACTCTGAAGGGGGTTTCTTGTACTGGAATGTTGGGCAAGACCTGCGATGCCTGCATGAGGATCAAGCAGGGCTGTGAAAAGTTGAGCAAAGCAGCAGGCAAGAAGGCACAAGCAGGCACATCAGTTGGTAAGTAGCAGTTGTGTCTTGATGCATCTGAGGCTAATCTGCTACAGTGCAATCAATGAAGGCCCCTAAGGCCAGTCCATCAAAGTGGGGTCACAACAATGACAATGATGATGGCATTGTGGAGGTGGTCAAGAGCAGGGCCCATGGAAAAGGAAAGGCACTGGTGCATGGTGGACTGGATGACAAGACCACCACAGCTTTGTCTCAAGCACTGATGATGGTGAGGGCTGAGGCCATGGCTTCGCATGCAGCCACCATGCATTTGCAGGTCTGTGTAGACCAGCTCACAGAGGCCCTTGAAGACCTTGGCATAGAGTAGATGACCATGTAGTTTGTAGACACCCTTCTGCATCCTGTCCCATTTTTGCTGTGGCCCACATCTTATCCATGGGAATATACCAAGCCTTGTCTTGTCCCTGGTAGTTGTGATGTCAGGCATTGTGAAAGACCTCTGTCTGTGTGGCAAGGAACTGGCCCTACATTGACTGTGGTATCATGTTGTGCGTGGGGTACCACCTGACTTGTCTTCTTCATGCAACTTTTGAATTCTCTCAGTGGTGAGTCCTTGTAGAATGGTCTTGATGGTAGGATGTGATGGATTCTTGAAGAGAGAATGAAGGGACTGTTTATTGGGTAACTGGGACAGTCTTTGGGTATCAATTGCAAGGAGACAGAAGAAGAACTGAAAGGAAAACAGATCAAGGTGCACACACTGACTGTGCATTCAAAGAAGAAATGCACAGGGTAGTTGCAAGTATCCATGGTTTATAGTGGCCAAGGATGGCATTAGCAAGACTAGTAAGAGAGATAGGAGAAATGTTGTTTTAGCTATATACTTATTTTTGTTATGTTTCTGGATGGTTTTTGACTTTTTGTTAGTGGTTTTTATGTTTCTTGTGTGAGGACTAGCTATCAGTAGAATCACTGGATGCAACCCAAGGTGGAACAGATGTCTCTGGGTGGAGTTTCTTAGGGTCAGAGCCATCAAAGGTGTCAGGCTTGTGGACTTTGGTTTTCGGAGCAGAGTCTCCAGTGTGTGAACTAGACTGCACAAGTGCATGGACAGCTCTAGCAAGAGCTACAAGGGGATCCTCTGGCAGCTCACCTGGGTCTTCAGGGATATCCCCATCACCACTGCCCCCACCATTGGGATCACCATCAGGGTCATCAGGGTCAGGGTTGGGTCCATCATCTTGGTTATGAGGAGGTGGAGTATGGAAGGTTGTTGGGTGGAGGTTGGAGTGACCAGCTTGCAAAGCACTTTTGCCTTCAGCATGAGAGTGGCATTGAGCAGAGAAGGATTGGAACTGTTTGATGACAGAAGGGAGTTGATGTGGATTAGCTAGCACTGCAGCAAGGTTCTCAGCAACCTCTCTCTGGGATTGAGCTTGAGTTCTCATAACAGCATAAGTTTTTTGGGAGACAGAAAGTGAGATCATACAAGTGTGAGTACAAATATACTGTCAAGTCTGGGCCTACTCCGACCAACTCTGATGCTGGACAAGGTCTGGGGAGAGGTTTGGAAGCAAGTCTGACAGAAAGAACTGAACTCTGACTGGCAGAGTGTTGGCAGGAATGAAGTCTGCCAAGATAAAGGTGGAGCAGAGTGAGGGCATCAGATTTAGCTCTTGCACTACCCCCTTGCACAATCTCAGCCCTCATATTTCAGAGGGAGAGTACAGGCAGGCAGATGGAGGTAACTCCAACAGACAGAAGATGGAGACAGAGGGAGTAGGAACTAAGTTGATATTCATACTGAAGAACAGTGGAGTGTGGTACATGCTTCTATACTACTACAGAGGTACAGTAATCAGAATCAGCACTGAGATACAGAGACTCACAAAATTTCAAGTAAAATTTCCTAGATGACAAATGAAGGGTAGACAGAGGACATATGAATGAGTAACACAGAATATCCCAAAGAGGAAACAGTCCAGGCACTGGACCATGTGGTGCACACACTGTGGAGTCCCTGACCATGCACTGTCAGGGAGAAGTCTGAAGGGTAGTCACATGACTCCTCAGAGAACAGCCCATTGTAGGGAATGAGTTCGAGTTCCCTAGGAGAAGTTGTCCTGGTTGGAAGAAAATAGGGGTTGGGGGATTTGTGTTTTATTTCTTGCTTTTGTTTGTGTGTTTGTACCACTGGACTTGGTGGCAAGCAGCCATGTTGTTGATGAAGCATGTGTGCTGTGTTCATGCAAGTTCAGTTTACCAAAAAAAAACAAGTTCATGTCACAGGCCCTCAGTAGTAGGGTGATTCTGTCTCACATTTCAGCAAGTTTTTGAAGTTAGAATTATTACTCTGGGGAGTACCCAAAGGGCTAGGAGGACCAGCAAGAGGTATTAGACAGGCAGAGCTAAGTATTCATTTCAGTTCACATTTTTACATTTTTACAACACTTCTTTCTCCAGAGAGATCCTCCCTTTTGGGTCGAGCACTATACTCACTCATTTCCTGATAATTTCTATTTCTAGGTATCTTCTATTTACCTATTCCTACATCTGGAGCCCACTGCAAGGGGGGTTCTGTTCATTTGGAGAAAGAAGTCACCACCTTATCACCACAAGCACTTGGAACAACTAGCTAAGTCTTTCGGAATTTTTAGTTTCACTACAGTCTACACTCAGGAATTTAGGAAATTTTCAGAACTATTTTTTTGAGCAGCAAATGTTGAGCAAGCAACAAAGTCAAAGGTCCCTCAAGTCGAGAAAGAAGTCTGAAGGCAAATTAATAGTTGATTTTCTGCGAAGAAGCTGTGAGAATGCGCCAAGAGAGCTCGAGGGAATGCCACCAAGGCATTCGAGGGATGCACCATGGTTCTTGGGGTGCGCATCTGACCTTTTTAGGTATTTCAAAGAGGTTTGAAGTCTTTGCAAGTGTGAGAATTGCTTCAATGGCAAAGAATGGGCAAAATGGGCTTGCTGGTATGCAGGTGGCGAAACCTCCAACTCATGGTTTGAGTTCATTGAAGATCAGTTGAATTGGCCTGAATTTGTGGTGGCCATTGCACATTTGTATCCTGGGTCCTGGAAATTGGGTCGACAGTATTCGAAGAGGGACCTTTACAACCTTGCTGACAGTCAAGCAAGCAGAAAGATTCATACAGAGGAAGAACTGACAAACTTCAGACTTTATTTTCTAGATTTAGCAACATATCTATGGGTTTCAAGGCAACTCAAGGCTGACAAAGTTGAAGATCTCTATTTACACAGCTTTGACAAGGAATTCTAACACAAAATCATTCAGAAAATGTGATGTGACAATCGACAGCAACATTCTGATGACCCATGGCCCATAGGCCAAGTAACAGTTGTGGCTATGAAATTGCTACAGAAAGGATTTCACTCAGAGCAACCTCAGACAAGCACAGAATGTTATGTTCAACCACAAAACAACCCAGAATTGAGTTCAGATGAGCAGTGACTACCTACAAAGTGTGTTCCAACTATGCCTACACATGACTCACTGACAACCAGTGTGCAGGGATCTACAGATTTATCAGGATACATAGAATGTGAGAAAGTCCCAAAAGTAGCTTTGACAATGCATGCAGCCACACAGCCCATCTGAGAAGGCAAATAATGAACACCAAAGTCCTGGCAGGCTCATCAAAGCAGCAGCAACAGCAGCCTGTTTCGAGATGAAAGAGTGTTCTTTGAGTACAAGTGAACTACTGACTACCAAGTTACAGGAAGCACCAAAGCTCAAGCAGGTTGAACCAGTGCTAGTGGAAGAACTGCTTGTAACAAAGGTCCCAGTTGAATTTGAGGCAGATGACAACACTCAAAGGGGTTCTTTATTTTGTTCACATTGAGTTTCTCTGATGGCTACTGGTGTGTTGCTACAGGAGTCCTGTCTAAGAGGTCAAGGCAACAAAAGAAGCAACCTCAGAGTTCCAGCAGTCAGTGAAGATACACATCAGTTAACTGATGACCTATTTGTATCAAAGATTCCACTCTAATTCGAAACAGAAAGGCTCAAAGAACAGCCAAAGCCCACAAGAGTCAAAGTCGAAGAGCTCGAAATGCTTGCAGGCAGCCCAGAAGCGAAAAGGTTGGCAGACAAAGAGGTTGTAGGCTCACACAGGATGCCACAGCACATGAATTGTGCCGAGTCGAGGGTTATTGCAAGAAGAAGCAGGATCGAGAAGCCATCAAGGCTTGTAATATGAAGGAAGCCACCAGAAGAAGTTTTGTGAGTTGAAATGTTGAAGCATGCAGCAAGGGTGGACAACCTTGCACCTGAAATATTCCACAACTGTGCAGCACCAACAATAGATATTTTATTCGAGAATCCATTGAGAGTATCAACACACACACTCAGTATTAGGACTTGTGCAGAAAGTCCTGCGATGTTGACTAAGCGGAGTCACGTGACCACTCTGCACATCATGGCTGCACACACTCAAGTACTACATACTGATGCATCTAGTATTACAGGCCAACTACACAAGATTGCAGTGATTGAAGGATATGAAGAATGGGGCAAATGACATACCATGTGCAGGATACCACAGTTGTGAGCGATGGCAACAATGACAAGGACATGAGTGATAATGGCAGCAACTTGAGTGACAGCAATGATGATGATGACCTTACCTACTGCAGATAAACAGCCATACAAGATAGGAAGTGCCATGCTGTGGAAACAGAGCATGACAAGCATGGATACTGAGCCTGCATCAGTAAACCACTTTGTGAGCTGGTAGTCCTAGGGAAAATGACTATATACATTGAAGAGTGACCAGCATCCAGGCGATCATGCTACAGGAACAGTGATGATGGTAAGGCTTGATGTGGATCAGTGGCCATGCAAGGCTAGAACAGCCATTTGATGGAGATGAGGTGCAAAGAGTGCAGATAATGAGCCCAATGGCTCAAAGGTTTGTTTTGAATTTGGAACATTTTACTTACATCTATTCTATGCTAGGGAGAACTGGGTTATGCTGCAAAGAGTGGGTGACATACAGACAAGCATGATACAAGAGATGACAATGACAACACTTGACATGGAGTGATGGCCATGTGTCACTAGAATTGCTGTTCGATGGAAACAGAGCATGACAAGCACAGATTTTGAGCATTATGGCTTAAGGCTTTGTTTCAATTTCATAGCAGTCTACTTACAGCCATCCTACTCTAGGAAAAATGGATGTACACAATGAAGAGCATGAGTGATATTGACAATGGCACTTGATGCTGATCAATGGCCACACAAGGCAAGACTTGCTGTTTGGTAGAGATGAGGCATGATGAGCATGGGTACTGGGCTCAACAGCCCAAGGTTTCATTTTGAATTCATAGCATTTTACTTAC